GGAGGGATTATTTATTACTTCAGGCAGGGTGTTGACTGAATGTCTCTGGATCTGTAATAGTCCATTTCGGGTATCTTTTATTACAGGATTCATAGTTGCACAAGATACCTACAACATCTCGACATCTGTTTCGGCACATACGCCGCCTAGAAGACTGGGATTGTAAGTTAAATGAGTTTACGTTATCCATGCAATTTTGAACCAGCCTGATTGCATTTCGATCTATTTCCCGATTGATATGTTGCGAGGACAGAGATTCGGAAATCAAATTGGAGTAGACCGGGGAGAATGCCGTTCTGTGGCATAGGCGCCAGGTCAGAGGAGGCTCAAGCTAGCTGGACTATTGAGCGCCGACTTCGAAAAGATAGGCAAGCTTTTTCACTGACTCATCGCATTCCGGTTGTGGGAGCAGGAGAGTCAGGCAAGTCGACGCTGATTAAACAAATGCAGTTATTGTACGCTAATGGGTTCTCGCTGGAAGATAAATTGGCAAAGGTGGCTGATATTCGGCGCAACATTCGCGATAGCTTGCTTGCCATCACTGCAGCCATGGGGCGCCTTCAGCCTCCAGTGGAGCTCGAATTGGCTGAAAATCAATCCTCGATGGACTATATTAAGCAGGTTTCTTTGCAGCCAGACTTTGACTATCCAGCTGAGTTTTTCTCATGTGCTCAAAAACTTTGGCGTGATCAGGGCTTACAAGAAGTTGTCCGGCGCTCTAATGAATATCAGCTATTGGATTCGGCCAGGTACTTTCTCGACAAGTGCGTTCAGGTCGCTGATCCAAATTACATCCCGTCTGATCAGGATATTCTTCGTTGCCGGGTGTTAACATCTGGGATTTTTGAGACAAGTTTCATCATGAACAAGATTCGCTTTCATATTTTTGACGTTGGAGGCCAAAAAGAAGAGAGGAGAAAGTGGATTCAGGTGACAGATTTTTAGGGTTGGTTTGGCCATTTACACACAGCTTGATGCCCATTGGGCTTTTCCTGATTTCCAGACACGGATGCCTATTTGGGATTATCATAATCTTTCAGATCACCTATGAGCATTAATCAATATCCATACCTGCTGAATAACCTGCTATTAAAAGAAAAATTTTGTTCTCGGTTCGGAATTTACTTATATTATAAGTAACCTTAGGGGTCACGGATTGTTAACAATATACTCGATCATATAACGGAGTACTCCACTCCTTAGGGCTAT